CGAGAAGTAACTATGAAAACAAAGTTAGTTGCAGTGGTTCCAAAGCTTTTTACAAATATTTGTTTAAGCCCTTTTCTCTATTCTGATTATCGAATATAGGCTTCTTCTAATTCTCGCCATTCATGTCTGTTGTTTGTAAGACGTTTCCACATTGGCCCTGCAGTCCTCTGACTATCATTGCTCCATCGCAGTTGCAGTCTTCCTCGTGGTCTTTTGGCTTCATATGGCCGCCAATTCCTGATTTATTTATTGCATCAGCCATCCGCAAGACGTTTGTTATGTGCCGTCCATTTCTATTTCAGTTTAACTGCCGGTTCGACAGCATCTTTTACTTTTGTTCTATTACAAATGAATGTCTTCATTGGTTTAAGTGAGTTCTCTGAGTTTTTCTAATCTTCTCCATGTTTATTTTAGTGTATGTGCAGGTTTGTTTCTCTGAAATCGGTACAGTCAGTTGGGTCAACCCGCAAAGGTACATTAATTAATTAGGAGTACAATGAAGAGCTACTAAGCTTCCTTTTAATTATGAAAAATTAAACCATGAAACCCGCCCAAAAAACCTCAAGTTGTCACCATTGACTCATATATGAGAAAGAGACGATGCCATATCACTTAGGATTAGACAGGGATACGATGTCATATCCACTTAGGATTAGGACACATAGAATTCTTAGGGAAATTCTTGGGCAACATCAAACTTTTTTAATATCAACGAACATATTAGACTAAGAGGTAATTACTCTAAATTGAAAAAGGAGTATTTTAAAAGTACTGTATGGCAAAACTTTTTAGTTTGGAATGGAACAGTTTAAGTGATGCCCCAGAGAAAGCTACTATTTTACCTAGTTTCAAAAACAAGTTTAATGAAAACCAACTGGATATTGTATCTAAATTTATGTTAACTTCGTGTAATGTGTTCAACAACTTTTTTTTAAGAAACTTATAAATATAAGGATATATTTTATACATATATATAATATATATATATATATATATATATATATAATATATATATATATATATATATATATATATATCTACCATACAAACAGACCTCGAAAACTATAGGCCAATCAGTCTTCTAAGTCACCTGTATAAATTATTTGCTCGAATTATCACTGCCAGAATTTAGAACAAACTAGAAACATGCCAACCAAGAAAACAGCAGGTTTCCGCCCTGGGTATGGTACAAATGACCATCTAACTTGTCTAAAGGCCCTAATTGAAAAAACTATAGAGTACAGCCGGCCACTAGTTCTAGTATTTGTTGACTATAAAAAAGCCTTTGACACTATCGAGATGGTAGCTATGTTAAGAGTTTTGAGAGATTGTAGAATCGACTACCGATATACCACATTATTCAACATATATATGCAAATGCCACAACAGCAATAAACCTCCATACCCCTACTCAAAAAATAAAACTAAAAAGGGAGTTAGACAAGGAGACAACATGTCACCAAAACTACTCAATGCCGTATTGCAGCATGTATTCCAGATGTTAGAATGGGAAAACAGAGGTTTGAGTGTCGATGGCGAAAGGCTGAACCACCTACGATTTGCAGATGACATAGTTCTAATAACCGACGACCTAAAGGAGGCCAACGAAATGCTACAAGATTTACAACGAGTCTCAAAAAAGTAGGGCTGGAAATAAACTTTGCGAAAACTAAAATGATGACCAACTTAGTACCTAGTGGACCATTGAAACTAGAAAACTGGCATATTGAAACGGTTGACAAATACATATATCTGGGCCACGAAATACAAATAAGTAGAGACAACTAAACATGCGAATTATCTAGAAGAATAACTTTAGGATGGGCAGCCTATGGCAAGCTAAAAGACGTGTTTAAGGAAAACATCCCAATAAAGCTAAAGAGAAAAGCATTTAACCAGTGCGTACTTCCGGTGCTCACTTATGGAGCTGAAACACTGACATTGACTAAAGCATCAATAAAAAAGTTACAAGTAGCACAACGAAAAATGGAAAGATCTATGCTTGGCGTAATTTTGAGAGACCGAATACGAAATGCTGAGATACGGCGAAGAACTGGAGTTGAAGACGTCATAAAACGGATTACGAAGTTGAAGTGGAAATGGTCAGGACACGTCGCAAGTCAGAGAGACAACAGATGGACAAAGAAGGTTTTAGAATGGCGGCCAAGGGCAGACAAGCGAAATCGTGGAAGACCACCTACCAGATGGACGGACGACATTAAAAGCATAATGACAAACGTGGATCGCAGCTGCACAGGACAGAGAAGAGTGGAGACATCTTGAGGAGGCCTATGTTCGACAGGCCTATGTATATATACATATATATATATATATATATATATATATATATATATGTTCTCTCTTCGTTAGGTTAAACTAAGTAATCTTATATATACTTTGAAATATTTGTATTTTTGTAATATTTGTTATTATTGTAAGAACTTTTCCCAAGAACTCATTCTCTGTCGGGAGAGCCTGTAACTCCTAGAGAGCGCGTGCCCAGTTGGCGGATAGGGGAAAGCCCTCACCAGCATCAGCTGGCGGGTAGGTGGGAAGTAAAATACCATCCGCGGATCAACCGGTAGGCAGACGATACTCTTAATCTGCAGTGAAAGCAAACCGTCTAGGAGAAGGAAAGCTCCAAAATCAAAACCTGGTCCTCCAAGTTCGGCGTTGGGGCATCGGGTTAACCACTGGATACTCGTCAAAAATGGTAAAGGTTAAAAACTCCAAAATTCAGCCTCGGAACCGGACTGATATACGACGACGAAAAATGCTATGAAACAGGAAAATTATTTTTGTGACATGGAACGTCCAAGGGATCTCCAAGGAAGCTCCATAAATTTTAGAAGAACTAAACACAATGAAGGTAGACGTAGCTATTATTATGGAAACCAAACATAAAGGTCAAGAATCGGAAAACCTAGGTAAATACGATCATTTCTATACCAGAGTCACAAAAGAAAATAGAGCTCAACAAGAAGTCTCCATTATGATACACAGTCGCTTCAGAAAATATATCACATCATGGGAAGGCATCAACGAAAGAATGATAAAAATGAATATATGAATAAAAGGATACAGACTGACTGACAGGGAATATTTTGTTTTTTAATTATTTTTACAACATCAAATAAGTCCAATTTTAAACAAAATTTTTTACTTTTTAGTTTATTCTTGACAAAAAAAAAACGACCTAGGGAAACTCATACACTAACCAAATTTGGTTTTTTGTTTACAGATGATTCTGTTATAAATTACGATGAACACTGCAAAGTAACTTTTTGTTCATCTTGGAAAATTGTAGCATGATTTTTTCCTTTAAGTATCGAATATTTATCTAAATATGTAAACATATACAAGAATTTATTTAATTCGCCTTGGCTGGTACGTAATAGTGATCTGAAGTTTGTCACCCAAGTGTATGTGAGGGGTCATCTGGGAAAATATTAACGACGTAATTGTCGTGCTAGACCTGGTTTTAAACGCGATTTATTTTAAATAAGTTCCGAACAAAGGGTGAAATTCATATTGATTGCAAGTAAAGAAACTAGTATGGAAAAATACAGACAAGTTTGACAACATGAGCTTAAAAAAAGAAATATTTAGACAGTAAAGCAAATTAGTTCTGTTAAATTTTTCTAAATAAACATCTTTGTTTAATATTCTTAGATTTGCTCTTATTTCGGTTTAAAGGTTTATTAAAATATACAAGTTTTATGTATCAGCTAATAATCATATTTTAGTTTGTTTTAAATATAGTTAACATTAATAATTAATTAATTATTCAGAAAAGTTTGGTATTTTATTTCAATATAGGGTAGTTAGTACACCTTTTCTGTCATTCGGTATATAACCATATTTTTAAAGTCTGTTTTATTAAAAAGTTCAGTGTAACATTTGTTGATAAACATTGTTTTAATTATGTTTCGTTAAAAGGTCCAATTCAATGTAATGTTTGTTGATAAATTTAGATATTTTTATTTGTAATAACTTTTAAAAAGATATTCACCTTTAAAACTTTTTAGGAATAAAAACCTACTTTCTTAGTACCTAGAGGATTCTTTAAAATAGCATCTTATTTTAAATAGTTTGGGCATCTTCTTGTGCACTATTGCCCAGGACATCTTTGTAAGTATTTTTTAATTTTTTTTTCTGTAAGTCTCCTAGTCGTCCTCAAATAAAGGAATCCTTATCCACAACTCAGTTCTCCAACCAAAACACTAGTAGCCGTTTGCAAACATTTTAATTTATTTGCTTACCCTATCATCAAGTCCAGTAATTGTTCAATCGACCCCTTTCAACCTCTTATAAGCATATTATAATTGTTACAAAATTAGGTAGCATTTTCTTAATTTTAAATATTTTTGTACCAACATTTTAGCTAATACATGCTGATACTCTTGAAATGCCGTACTATAATGTACTAATGTTATACATAAATTTATATTAAATAATTTTTCAAAAAAAAGGCTTAAAATTGTGTTTAAAATATTAAAAATAAACTTTACCTTAAGTCAATGTAGTTAAGTTCATCATAAGTAATCTCTATAAGTATTTTAATAGGTTTGGAGATATTTTTAATTTGTAGTGGAAAACAGGGTATGTTATGTTCATGAATTAAATTTAATATTTTTATTTACTTTACTATTTACATAATAAATATCATAAAGTAACACACGCAAAAAATTAGATTAATTAAATTAAGAAATTGTTACAGTAAATTCAAGGTTGCCGATTAAGGTATGTTTCACAAATTGACAATTATTAAGTTTTAAGTCATATTGTGACATGAAATTGTTTAAAATTATGATTTTAAATTTATATAAACATTTATCCTGACATTTATATGTTGATAGCCGTTTATTTTTCTATATGTATATATGTGTAACAGTAAGTACATTTTCATTTTATACTTTTTTTAAAACACAACTAAATTCTCTTTAAAATAGATAAAATCAGGCTTGATACTTTGGTATCTTACGAATATTATTATAATACTACTCACCTGCTACCACAACTTGGAAGACACAAGGATCCTTTTGCCTGCCGATTTCGTTTTCACCATAACACAACAAAGTACCGTAATCTAAATCTGTGGCAGGCGTATAGTTCAGTCTAGATGAAGTCACTTCACTAGTAAACTTGTCCGGAGACACATCACTTTGATCCCCACTATTGTTAAATGTCCAATGAAAAGCAACTACTGGCGGATGAGCATCAACGCTACACCTTAAAATGACAGTCTCTTGTTTGAGAGCTCCATAAAGTTCTTCTCTATCTTGAACACATATAGGAGCATCTGCAAAAAAAAGATTTTTATTATCTTCTGAAAATTTCAGTCACTAGCCAAAAGTTTATAGTTTACTACTATTTGGTAATCCTAATGTATCTATTAGGAAAAACCAAACTCTTTTTACACATCGCTAATTTACAGTTACCTTAGACGACAACCGTTAAATAAGCCTCTATAATAAAATAAAATAGCATAGGTACATCTATATTCTAGTTAAAATCATATGGACACATAAAACCATTCAGAAAAAACAGTAGAAGTAGGAGTCTATGTAAGCTCATAATTATTGATATTAAAACGCTTTTACCACAGCCTAATAAGTAAAAATTGCCAAAAGGCAACAAACTTTTAAAGAAAACCAGAAGAAAATTTTGCCAGTAAATAATTTTCTCTCGAATGATATTCGTCAAGACTATTTTACAAGACAATTAATGCACCATATAAACGAAAACCTAATCTTTATTTATTTGTTAACAATATTAAATGTACCGGGTGGTCCAATAAGCCGATCTCTCGGCTATATATCAGAAACTATTCATGTTATAACTTTAGGAGAAAAAATTCCTTAGTAAAAGTGGCCAAAAGAAATCGTTGCGCTGGAAATAACTTTCAAGATTCTGGATTAACCGCTAGGGGGCGTAACCTGCGAAGAAAATTTTGAAAACCAGTTTTTTGGGAAATACGTCCAATTATACCAAGTGTTAAATAATTAAACTAGAAAGCGGCATAAATTCTGCACAAAGTTTTTCAAGTACTTTTTTTATTTTTTCAAATAAAGGGTGGGGGAGAGTTTGAAAGTATTTGTGGATAAATACCTATAACTATGGTTTGGATCAACCGATTTTAACACAATTAGTGTCATTAGGAAGAGTGTGGATGAATTAATTTACATCTACTATAAAATAATTACATTTAGTTTTAATTATCGTAGGTAGAGGGTACTTTCGAATAGAAAAAATTAAAGTTTGTTTTTCTTTAAAATCTTTAATAGAAATACCTATTTATTGTAAATTACAATGGAACTGGATTAAATTCGTAACAAAATGGCGCAAACTGCATGTTAATAGCTTTTATCTAACTCAAGATATGAATAAAAAACGCATAATCATAAGTAAGTATAGTATTGGACACACCTTGTATTATAAATTAAATTAAAAAATAAGTCAGTAGGTACTTTTAAAATTTTTCATAGCAGAAGAATCTTAATGGTAATACCTATTTTGACAATTGTTATTTCATATGATTAAAAATGGTTTTTTCGAAACCAAGTAGGCTACGACAATGATTTGACAGGGAGTTTATATTGTTTATTTATTGACAGCAGTCAAAATATTGTTAAGAAGTGTTATATGTATCATAATTCGAATTGAAGATTGCATTTTTTTCAATAGATATTAATATTGGTAATATTAGTAATTAATTACCAGTACTAATATTTTGTGATGCGTATATCAAATTGTATGATATGATTGTAGTTTATTTCGAATATCACCAAAACGGCGCTACTACCTCACGTATATGTTCTGTAAGATATTATGGCAGAAGACATTATGGCAAAGAAGTAGAGATTTCCGACTACTTATATGTGGATTCTGTTGAATTAAAGCAAGAACATTGAATTATCTTCGGTCATAACTCTACTACGTCGTTAAAACAAGGACGAGAAAAACTACCAGTTTCTCTTAATCTGTTTGCGTTTCTTTTAAATACTTCTTTGCCATAATGTCACCTGTCACGATATCTTACAAAAAAAGATATACATGAGGCAATAGCGGCATTTTGGTGACATTCGAAATAAACTCCAATCATATCAGACAATTTGATATACTTATCACGAATTATTCGTACTGTTATTTAATTACCAATATTACCAATATTAATATCTATTGTACGGCCTCATTGCCACTCCAAGCAAGTTCAAATGAGCAAAGGCAAAAAAACTTTTTTGTGCTTAATCGGGGATTTCCTCGTCGTAACTTTGGAGAATTTTTACTAGTTCTTCGGTGGATAATGCTTCTGAACTGGGTTTTCTTTTTTCTTGAACATTTTATAGCTGCCTCTGCTTAGTATCTTTGGCCAATCTTGCACATTTAAAATATATATCTATAAAGGGTTAGACTTTTATGATGTACTCCGTAAAATATTTCCTTGCACCACTTTTGCTGTAGTATTCCATATTGACTTTACAGACGACTCTTAATAGTCTTCGTCATTGAATTTTTTCGTGTTAAAGGCATAATCCTCGAGAATGTTTGCTAGTTCCGTTATGGTAGTACATCTTTCAAACGTAAAATTTCTCACTCGTAGGAACTTCGAAAATTGGGTCCAAATAGAGCTTCTGAACCTTTGTGTTTTCAATGGGACATTTTTCGAAACAAATTTTTAGATTTCTTTACCCGACTAGCACCCAAGTCTTGATTTTTCTTCTGGATTCATTATATCTGTCCAAAATTAATTACGCTTCAATGACGTTTGTTAAACTGACAACAATAGAAATACCAGCATCGAGCAAAAATACAGAAGAGGAAATGTTAAGGTAGTGGGGGCAAAAATATTGTTAGACGAGAAGTGCTATTTTGAGAGGCCACATTAAACAAGGAAAGAGAGTCACTTTCCATGTTTAAAAAATTAAATTTAGTTGGGTTATGTTATAGTTTGTCCCAAGTGCCACATGAAAGCTTATTTATATTAAAGTTTTTAAACAATTGTGTCACATTTTAGACTTTTATCAGTACTATTTAATTAAAACTTTCTCTAAACTTATTCTGAAAAATATTTTATAAAAATGAAAAATACTTTGAATTTGGCGCCTTTTCATTCCGGGATATGTCCTCCCTATTAAGAGGCGACTTTTATGAATTGTGGTCTTCCTTTTATAACGATTAGATTTCCTCTTTTGTCTTTTTGCTCGATAATTCCCTTTGTGGCGGATTTGTCATAATTTTGTTGCTAAAAAATCACGGAGAGAAAGGAGTTTTGTCAGTAGGAAACGTGGCGTTGCTATGACATTTTATCGGTTAAACATACTCTAGTAAAATAGTAAAAATTAAAAAATACATTTTTCAAACATGTCATGACAAATAAATGTCAATTTCGAGTGCCACCGCATCAATCAAAATGTCAATTTAAAAAAGATATTTGTTGGTGATGATGACACACTTCAAGTTTTCTGGCCAATTTTAACAATTCACAGCCCATATTAGTATTTCTCATGCTTGATATGTGGTGAACCTTTTTATAATACAGAACATGACAAATACAACAATCATACAGCCACTATAAATGAATAAAAAAAAACAAATACTTTGGTTGGAAAATTAAAAATTGGAACTGAAAGAACTTTTTAGAGAAACATATGGAACACGACTTCTGCAGAACACAAAGAGAAATATGAGGAGTGATCAGAGGATAAAAAAAACTGTTAAACGAACTATTTAAAATGTAAAAGTTTCAGAAGGAAATATGGACAGACCACTTTCGATTCCTATTTGCTAAAACTGAAGAAAATAAACTACCAACACCATAAGTGACGACAAAGAAAGAAATAAAAATTGAGGAGGAATATATAAAGAAAGAATTAAATAAATAAAAAAATAAAAACAGTCAAGATGAGATCTGACCAAACAGCTATTAAAACTAATCCAAAAAATAACAGAACAAAAAATAATATCACAACAATGAAGATCAAGCATCCTAATACCTTTTTTAAAAAAGTGGAGAGAAAGATAAATCTGGCCTGGAGAACTAGAAGGAATCAACATATTAGAGACAACACAAAAATAAACAAAAATAATAAAAACTAGACCAAATAAAATTATAACACGAGCAAAAGATCAACAAGGTTTTAGATCAAGATTATGAATCGACTTTTATATTTATAATGACTTAAGTGGAAGACAAATTACTAAAATACAACAAACCGGCATATTTGTGTTCCGTGGACCTTAAAAAGGCGTTTGACAGGATAAAATTAAAGGACGTTGTCCACTTGCGCCCGTTATCCTATGCGCAAGAAGTGAAGGACTATTACCTCGTTATAAACCGATCTTTTTATATCAGACAACAATAATGATGTTTTTAAAAAAGTTGTTTATTTTTATTGTCAATCATATACGTTAAAACAAAAATCTGTACGTACATTTTTTTTCAACTACATAATGTATAAAGCGTATTTTCAAGGATAACATAAACTATTGTCCAGTATCATTCTATCATATTCTCTAAAGTTATAAAACAGTTGTATTTATTGTAAATAAGTTTATTAAGGGCGGCAGTTAATATTATTATATAACATAAAAAACACGTTTTTCGATCTTATTTTCTCCCGTTATAACCAAATTTGCCTCGATAAAGAGGGTTATAGTTCAGTAGAAATTTTACGGGACATATAATGTACCTCGTTATAAGCGAGACATAGTAATAACCGTGTTCGTTATAGAGGGATTATACTGTATAATGTCTTTGTTATTTTTAATTTCATTGATTTTTCATGATTTTCAAAAGAATATTTTCTTTCCACTTTACCCAAGCTTGTTTTCTATTTTCAATAAGTAGAGAAGACCTCACTTAAGCGCATTTTGACCTTTGACCCCTGTCGCCAAAAGCCTTGTCCGCGCTCCAGTCACGCCCCGTGTTGACGTCATCGGGCACCGTCAGCCAGTAAATTAGTTCATATTAAAAATGGCTGACGGTGCCAAATGACGTCAACACGGGGCGTAACCTAAGCGCGGACGGGTCTTGTGGCGGCAGGGGTCAAAGGTCAAAGTGCGCTTAAGTGAGGTCATCTCTACTTCAATAGCCTTACTGCAATCTTTGTTTTAACATGTATGTTTAAGTTTCTTATTTTACTAAATCGTTCAGCAAATAGTTTACACACAAGAAGTGCATATTGTTTTTCATAAAAAATTAATTTCAAAATGAAAATAGCTTTCACTCTAGCGTATAATTAATTTTTATTTCTGGAAGACTATCGAAAATAAATGTTTTAATATAATACCAACACATGC